AAAAAATTGCCAAAAGGGAGTAACGAACGGGACGTGAGTACCCATGCAAGGAAACTCCCTACAGAATAAAAAATAAATAAATATTACAAAGTTTTAAGTCAGTGCGAATGAGTTCTATGGCAGGAACAGTCTATAAACACTGACCAGGTACACGGTTGGTCAATATCGAAAACATTTGCTAATAAATTAAAATAGTGATTAGTGACAAAGTTCTTAAAGGATGAAAGAGTACCTAAGGAAGACGGAGGAGCTACTTTACACATAATATTCCACAGTTTTGTAATTCTATTAAAATATGAGGCCTTAAATAAAGATGTTTTACAGGACTGAGTTTTCAGCAGTAATTCCGGATTAAAACAGTTTCTTGTGCGGTTGTGGGGAACAAAATTAACAAAGTTGTTAACGTCAATAGGCGATATTCCGTACAGACAGTTATAAAAAAATATTAAGTCTTTGATCTCTCGGTCATAACAAAGAGGCAACATATTCAACTTAATTAAGCGTTCTTTGTAAGAGGATTCGTGCAGTCTTTCCTTTAATATCCATCTGGTTGCTCTGCGCTGCACGCGTTCTATTTTAAGCTTTAAGTATATGTGATGCGGTGACCAGACAACGGTGGCATAAGACAGTTGAGATTTCACAATGGATAAGTAGAGTGATCGACGGACATTTGCGTCGGGTAAGAGAGGGCAAGTTCTTTTCAGGAGACCCAAGAGCTTATTTGCTTTACTCACTATCTGTGCGTGCACTATTTGTGTACAGATATCGCATGCAAATCTACTGCGTCCTTTGTAAGAAGATGGTTTTGTTACGGTGGCCCAGAAGGGACAACGCTTGTACTTGAAAATGTAGCGTCGTTCTGTAAAAATGTAACTGTTCTTTTTAGAATTTAACATCTTTCCTTAGAATTTTGCCATCGTTCCTTGTATATCTGCGACCGTTCCTTAGAAATATAGCTGTTCTCTGGAAACAGTCACGAGATTCTTCCGTAGAAATCTAGCCCTGCCGTAGTATAAGCCGTCGCTGTTCCGTAGAAATGTAGCTCTTCCATAGTACTCTTTGCCTCTTCCGTATAGAACTTGGAAAGTTCAAATCTGTGCGTGCACATTACCATGGGTGGGCACTGGGCATTACGCCTGGCTGTAATTCATTGCTCGCCATTTTGCAAACGTTACGATGTTTATATGTCAAGTTTGTGAAACGAAAGTGCAAGAGGGTGGAAAGCATTGCTATAACTGTGGGGCCGGAGTGGAATGTTTTCAGGATGGTAAATCTAAATTTAGCTTTATCCCTTTGGATCATTGCTGTGAACGGAATTTCAATATTGCAATTTTGACAGTAGTTTTGTGATTTTTGTAGACGAGATTATTGAATGCTATTTCCATCTCGGGTACAAGTATGATGTGATCATCAATTTTTTGAGAAGTAAGCATGATATATGATTGAATGTACGAACACTTAAACGGAGGCTCGTGAAATACAAATTATCAAGAAATGAGACTTGGAGAAGTGAGAAAGAAGTAAAGATTGGAAAAGTGAGAAAGAAATAAAGAACATAGTCAAGGAGGAAATGCAAGGGTCTGGTTGCCTATCGGGTTACAGGAAAATGTGGCATTTTCTTAAAATAAAGTACAGTATTCACAGACAAAGTGCAACATTTTTAATGCAATAGGTCTGTAGTTAATGATATGGTTAATTGTTACAAGGAGAAACAAAGACAGAGAATATTCAAATTTTTGTATCACAATCATTATGAATACTGCCAGTACTTTAAGAAAAATGTATTTCAATTTTTTCTCAAAAGTTTATTGATCATAATAAATAGTTTTAATATTAATCAGCAATATTTATGAGTTGAAAAAATAAACAAAGTGCTTCTTCGTGGTTTGAAGGATACTGAAGCCCCTCTTCTTCTATCACATAATGACAATATTGCTGAAAGACATTCTCTTCCTCTTCATAGGCATATTTACTTTCCATTTCTAAAATTTTGTCTCTGGAAACAGGTAAAGAGCAGTCAAAAGCACCTAATTCTTCAGGTAGTTGAGATAACACATCAGGAACCCCTCCAACTGTGTCATTCCTAGATGGTCTAATGTAATGTGTATTCCAGTATAGTCTCATCTTATCTAGTTCTTGCTGCAAAATACCATGAAAACAAAACCACAGACATTCTTTATGGATTTCATTTGAAATATCAACCTGCCCACTATCTACCAGGTCTTTCAAAAACTTCATCCACCAACTTGAAGAGGACATCCAATAATGAGACCACCAGTTCTCTACTCTTTGATTGCTGGTTGATGTTCCATAGATATGGGCAGACTTCCCAGAGTGTGGTGTATTGTCTTCCGATAGAAAGTAACACTGCATGGCAGCTATAATGTCATTTTCAGTACCACAATCTGTCCTGGTTTGTAAGGGGCAGAAACCATGTTCCTTAACACATTCTAAGTAATACCTTGCAGTAATTTCAGGGAGATTGTTTGACCTTTCTAACTCCACCCATAGAACCTTTCTGCTGTACCCATCCACACCTGCATTAATTGGAAATCCAAATGGTTTCAGCTTGTCGTAACCTGTGCCTTATTCCAACACTGCAAAATAACTTCACACATTACCATAAAACTATCCCTTCCTCCCTCAACATATAATAATGATTATAGCAAAGGTCTTGATGATAAGGATCTGCTTCACGAAGGACCTTTCTAAAAATAATAAATAATAAGCTCCCAGACCCTCTACCCTAAAAGTGTAGCACTAGAGATGCAGTAAAAAAATACCCACTTTCCTCTGAAAGTAATCAAATCAAAGTTATGGAAGAAGGGCTGAGAAACACATCATTGCAAAATGAAACAGAAAAAATGCAATCAATTGCTTGCCTTGAGTAGAGACAAACACTACTTTGTTCTATGCAGTTCATTCATGCTCTTATCACTTCCTACTAATATTACTAAACTTACCATCGATGTGCCAGCATTGATTTGGCCCATGCGATAGACAGTGCCGTCGTTTGAGCTTCTTTTTCTTTCTCAAACTACTAGCCTCAGGATCAAGATCATGCAAGATTTGTGCAGCCATGTTACGTGGGACGTGAATACTGTACTTTATTTTAAGCAAATGCCACATTTTCCTGTAACCCGACAGGCAACCAGACCCTTGCATTTCCTCCTTGACTATGTCCTTTACTTCTTCCTCACTTCTCCAAGTCTCATTTCTCGATAATTTGTATTTCACAAGCCTCCGTTTAAGTGTCCGTACACTCAAGCATATATCATGCTTACTTCTCAAAAAATTGATGATCACATCATACTTGTACCCGAGATGGAAATAGCATTCAATAATCTCCTTTTCGGGGTCTATAAAGATCACAAAGCTACTGTCAAAAATGCAATATTGAAATTCCGTTCACAGTAATGATCCAAAGGGATAAAGTTAGATTTAGATTTACCATCCTGAAACGATTCCACTCCAGCCCCACAGTTATAGCAATACTTTCCACCCTCTTGCACTTTCGTCTCACAAACTTGACATATAAACATCGCAACGTTTGCAAAATGGCGATCAACGAGTTACAGCCAGGCACTAATGCCCAGTGGCCACCCATGTTAATGCGCGCGCACAGGTTTGAACTCTCTACGGAAGCGTTCCATTTCTACGGAAGCGCTGAAGTTCTACACGGAGGAGGCAAAGAGTTCTAGGGAAGAGCTACATTTCTACGGAACAGCGACGGCTTATACTACGGCAGGGCTAGATTTCTACGCAAGAATCTCGTGACTGTTTCCATAGAACAGCTATATTTCTAAGGAACGATCGCAGATATACAAGGAACGATTGCAGAATTCTAAGGAAAGCTGTTTAATTCTAGAAAGAACAGCTACATTTTTACAGAACGACACTACATTTTCAAGTAGAAGCGTTGTCCCTTCTGGGCCACCGTAGGTTAGCGTTAGATTTCACGTTGGTTCATGTGTAGGGTTTTTTCGCATCTCATTTTAAAAAATAACGGTTTTCTCAAAACAATGGGAAAAAAATAATCCAAGATGGCGGAGGGGTTAACTCCAACACACTGTTTTCGCATACGTAATGTTTATTGTCACACAACACAGGGAAAAGAGAATGGACCCTGACCCTATATTACGTGTTTGGGTATCGCGGGTTAGACAGACTAATCTAACTGACTAAGACTGTGAGCAGAAGTTGTATTTATAAGAGTCCCAAAAGGTTTTCACATGCATTTGGTACAGGTTGTTCAGGACGTATGACTTTTACGTTTAAAAAATGTAAGGGATGTACAATCGTAGGACACAGGGATTAAGACAGTTTAAAACAGTTTATTACAGTGGTCATTCTATGTACACTCTTTCCTTCTCTTCCTCCTTCCTGCTCCTGCGCGTGCGTCCGGAATGCGGTCGCGTAGCGACCGTGGCAATGTGTCCACGTTTTAGTCATGTTTCGTCACATGTAAAGCAAGTCCATATCATATGAGTTAAATAAGTCTTTGGATTATGCTCCTTGTAATTCTTCCAATCGCTTTATCACATATAGATGTCGAAATTTTGTGTGCAACGTGCTTGTATATAGGTACTTGCTATGTTGCCTCTCTTTTACCGCTTTTATTTTGTGTCTAAACGGAGTATTCAGGAACCGTTTGATTGTGCTTATCTTCTCTTTGACTTCCATGTAGGGATGAGTTTCAGTGAGATACACCACTTGTCTGATTGGATGAAATCGAGCTTTCTTCATCATCACTTTGGTCCCACGTATGATCATACCATTCCGACTCATGGCCACTCTTATACACCCATTGCTAGATTTCCATTGGTCTATCATTGATTGACACAAGTCATGACTCGGCAACAATTTGGACAGACAGGTCATTGACTTTGATCCGAAAAACATGTAAGGAAGCTATGACTTGATTAAAATTTGATGGACAGATAATAATGAGACAGTTACAACGCCTGCTGGCATTTCGTATTTTTCCCGGTTTGTATGCTCTATGGTACATTTTTCCCGAGAAATGGGAATGTTCATGAGCATGGTGCTGCGTTTTTGAATACCCTTTTTGTTCGATTTTTTTCCTGGTAATTTTTTTAAACGGCAAATCTAATTATTTCTCCTGGAATCATTGTCATTGAATTGCGTTGATGTATCGTTGTTATTTTCTTCACTTGCGGAATTTTGTATAGAATTTAAAACATTTTCGTTACTGCTAGTGATCACACTCACGCGTTACAGTTTATTTTTAAGATTTCAACTAAAGTAAACATTTTATTGAGAAAAAAGCTATCGCATGTTTATACTTCGAACGACCCATTGTTCATTTTTAGAGAATTTTGAATACTCATGTGATCACAATTCGAATTATTTTCATTTTCTTGGAGTAGGATGAATTATTCACATCTCATCATAGGGTTTAGGCGGAAACAAACCTCTTTTATTCTCGATTTTTTTACACAATACGAACGCTAATGACATCTTGAAATCACTTTTACCATTGGAAGTATGAGTCACCATCTTGCGTTTTATTGTTTCCATTGTTTGTCTCACTCTGATGTTTGACTGTTAGGGTTTTATTTTCATTTTAATATGGGAATAAGTGGGTTAGAGAATTGGGTCTAGGGTGAGAGTTAGGGGTGTGGTCGTGTGAGTGAGTGACCGAAATAGCCCAGGTTCGAATCCTGGTCACGACAGTTTTATTCCTTTTATTCTAAAATGAGCGTTTTTTAAATATTTATTTTATCTTGAAATCATTTTCCCTAAGGGAGGATTAAACAGCATCCTACGTTTCATTATTTTTATTGTTTTACACCATCTTAGCTGGCTTTTAGTTTTTCAAATTATGAAAAAAAAACACGCTCCTATAACCTATGCAATTAAACCCTAAACCATGATTTATTTAACGCTTTTAATTTGTGTTTCCTTCCTACATCTCTCATACATTTCATTGTAGTTTTCAACTGTGGATACTCTGTTTTCCTATAACCGGTATGGGTAGTTGCGTGATACTATGTATCATTCATAATAAACACTCATATTTCGTCTATCCACTTTGGTTTTTAAAGTGCTCTTATTATTTTCAAATTGTCCTGCCAAAACGCTTCACTCTCTATCTCTTCTTCTTTTAGTACTCACCATTCGCATTGACAGCAATCACAGGAGAAATCGTAAAAGTCAGACATTATCATACTGACCAAGAGTTTATAGCGACAAGGTCCACCCGAACACTTTGACAGCTTGTCAATCCCTGTGTCTTACGATTGTACATCTCTTACATTTTTTAAACGTAAAAGTCATACGTTCTGAATAACCTGTACCACATGCATGAGAAAACCTTTTGTGACTCTTATAAATACAACTTCTGCTCACAGTCTTAGTCGGTTAAACTAGTCTGTCTAACCCGCGATACCCAAACACGTAATATAGGGTTCATTCTCTTGTCCCTGTGTTGTGTGACAATAAACATTACGTATCCGAAAACAGTGTGTTGGAGTTAACCCCTCCGCCATCTTGGATTCTTTGTTCCCATTGTTTTGAGAAAACCGTTATTTTTTAAAATGAGATGCGAAAAAACCCTATACACGAACCAACGTGAAATCTAACGCTAACCTCCCCAACAGCCCTAACCCCAACAACCCTAATCCCTTCGTTCACCTATGCCGCATAAATAGACCCTAAAACTCCCCTCGCGCACCTACACCGTATGAATATTTACTTAGAACCCACTCGACCGAATCACTCGGACCCAGACCGCGCAGAAGTTGCCATAAACCTATGATTCCAACGTTGGAGAACAATCTACTTTCCATCAATGGTACAGACACATCATGACAGCTTGTTAATCAGAGCGACATTTACGTTCAAACACATTTATGTATAACTTCATCTTACATTCTACAAACACTTCATACACCATGTCATCTGAAAAACAACTGTTTGGATGAAGATATTGAACAGAATCCCAAGTGGGCCGGAGCCGTCCGAGACGAATTATTTGCCATTGTAAAAGAAAAAGCTACCACGCAAGATCTTTGTGAAAAACGCAGACAAGTGACTAAATACTTTGACGAGATTGAAGCCTATGATTCCAACGTGGGAGAACATTCTACTTTCCATCAATTATACAAAGATATGATGACAGCCTTTCTAGCTTATGTTACCTATTTACAAATATCATGCGGAGTGAGCAAATAAACCATGGTTAATCCCTCCGCCATCTTGGACTTTTTTCTTATCTTTGTACATTTTTTTACCGTTACTTTTTCAACCTTAAACCCTACTCACGGTAATTAAATCTCACCCTAATAACCCCTCGTACACCTAGGCTAAACCCTAACCCCAGCCCCCATTTATACGACTACGCAAAATTTAACCCAAACCCTAACCCTAATAACCATAATAGCCGTAATAACCCTAACCCTAACCTTAATATGAATATTAATGAATCCACTCGGCCGAATTAATGAATCCACTCGGACCCAGCCCCTGCGGTTTATGCCAGATAGGCGCACTAAACTACTCCTCAGCTTAAGAAAGTATCAACAGTGGTGCAAAAACTAAAAAAAGGAAGAAAATTTGGCAAAATTACTTACAGTTTCAAATGATCCACAACAAATCAAGTAAAGTTTCTGACCATACAGTCCTAAGTGAGACAGGCACCACAAAATACAAACCTAAATGTTTTTACAAAATCAGAGACAACTAACTTAAGGATCATTAAGGAATTGAGATAAGCCAGGTAGTTTTGGAGAGCACAATGTATAAGAAAAAAAGTGTTTAACTACGTGGATTTGTATTTTATACTCCAGGCTAAACCATAAAATAAACTTGAGATCAAATAATATCAGCTGATCACTGGGAGAGTATTGAATTATAACACTGTTTAAAATTCAACATAGGGTTTTGCCCAATTGCCCTTTCCCTGTTAATCTCCAAAGTTGAAATTTCTGAAAAATACCTTACAGCCTGTATGTTTTCAAAATGACCACAATACAAACCAATTTAAAACAAAATTAGCAATTTAAGGAACTTTGCGTTAAACTGCTTGACTGTGTTTTCATACCTCCTCCAAATGTGAGGATATGTCCCTGAAAAAGGAAATGATTTAAACAGGGTTGGAAAACATTGCCTCTCTTCCATTTCCAGTAATAAATAGGTGAGGCCACTGTTCATATATTAAAATTCTAACATGGCTCCCAGGCTAGAAGGAATCAATCAAAAGAAATTAATCATTCATTCTCCAACCTCCAAGTGATATCTTTTGTTTTTTTCCCCTAAGCCTATGAACCAAGTTTGAATATTTAATGTAACAAAAGTGGCTTATTCAAGTGTATGGCTCTT